GGCTGGGAGCAGCCTTTCTTGTCCCGGGCATCCACATGGTCTGCCCGGGCCAATCGCTGCAGCCTGTGCCTGCTGGCCCAGGACATAACACCCCTCCCCCCTTGGCTAAAATAATAAGGCACACTTATTATTTTAAATACTCCAACACTCCATTACATTGCTTACGTTGCATCTATATATACACAACACTACAGTCTTGTTACCGCCATGCTCCCCACTCCCCTTGAGCTGCATTGCTTAACCCAGACTACTAGGCCTGCCCATGAACTGACAAGGACCGTGCATAGTCTTGTAAGTATTTGGGAGGACCTCTGGCCTGCCCTGATCTTCTCATGACCAGTGTGTGTGCCTGGCCTGCCAGCTCGCCTGCCAGGCTAGGCAGACCAGGACTTTGTTGCCCCAAAGACCCAGGGGACCCACCCAGCTGCTGACTGGCTGGATCTGCTAAATCCAAGCCAGGGTTCTTTGGGGGGGTGGAATTCCCTCAGTGCAGTGGTGGGGTGGAATTCCCAAAGTCCCCAATAGATTCCTCTTGGGAGCCCTGTCCCTCGAGCCCTAGACCAGCAGCTGGAGTGGCCTGAGTGCCAGAGGCTGGAACTGCCTCCATGGTGAACCCCCTTTCTGCGGACTCCCTGTTTGGAGCAATAGCTGAAGCCTGGGGATGTTGGAGAGACCATGGTCCACAATCGTAATTGTGGTCCTTCCCCCCCCCTGAGAGCAGGGCTAGGAGCGGAAGAGTTGCTGGGAAGCCTCCAGCGCAGTTGGTCAATGTGACATCGGATCACGCAACCATCGTCCAAGGCCACTTCATATGACAGCGGCCCAGAGACCTTGCATACACTGCTGTGACCCAGAGATGTCCTGGTCCATAGTTCCTTGCCCAGACCGGATCTCCCACTTGTAGTCTCCTAGGTGCCCGCGGCTGTGACACCTGTGAAGCCACCCAGTCTGGGTGTAATCTGTCCAGTTTCGTGATGAGGCGGCGACCCCAGCAGAGTTCAGCTGGGCTCTTTCCAGTAGCTGTGCAAGATGTGGTGCGGTGGCAAAGAAGAAAGTCCACTAACCTGTGATGCCAGGTCCCGTGTGTGATCCTCTTTAAGGCATCCTTGGTTGTGTGCACCATTCGTTCAGTCTGGCCGTTGGAAGCTGGATGGAATGGTGCAGATGTGGCATGCCAGATCATGTTGGCCTGGAGGAACACCTTGAACTCAAACGACGTGAATTGGGGCCCTTTGTCAGAGACAAGGACATCTGTAAGTCCATGTGTGGTGAAGATCCCTCTCAGGGCCTGGATGGTCCTAGCAGTGGTAGTGGAGGACACAGGCATGACCTCTAGCCACTTAGAATGGCTGTCCATGAGAATTAAGAAGAATTGCCCCTGAAAGGGCCCAGCGTAGTCGATATGGACCCTTGACCATGGGGTATGAGTCTCCTCCCACCTATGAACTGGGGCCTGGGGCATCTCCGGCCTTGACTGTTGACAAACAGTGCACCCGTGGACCTGGGCCTCAACGTCTTTGTCGAGCCCAGGCCACCAAAGTTGGCTGCGCGCTAACGCCTTCATCCGGACTATTCCCGGATGTCCCTCATGCAGAGACTGCAGGACTCTAGTCCTAAATGAGGTTGGGATTACTACCCGGCTACCCCATAGGACACACCCCTTGAAGGTGGAAATCTTGTGCTTCCTCTGCCAGAAGCTCTGGAATTCTGAGCCTGGACATATGTCAGGCCATCCAGACAACGCCCAGGTCAGCACGTGTGTTAGCGTGTGATCGGTGGTTGTTTCTGCAGCCACGTCCCTAGCACTGAGGGGAGATTCAGGCAAGTCCTGAATAGATAGGATGCGGTTGGCAGGTGCTGGATCTGCCTCTATCTGCTGTAATGGCAACCTGCTGCGACCATCTGCATTACCCATTTCTTTGCCTGGCTTGTGAACCAGTGTATGGTCATAAGCAGACAGGAAGATAGACCACCTCAACATTTGTGGGGATATTATGTGTGGGGTTTGTTTGTTCATTGTGAACAACCCCAGCAGTGGCTTATGGTCTGTAAAGACCGTGAAGTGGCGGCCATATACGAAGTCATGGAACTTCTTTATGCCAGCCACTATGGCTAAGGCTTCCCTATCTATCTGTGCATAATTGCGTTCAGCTGATGATAGGGTTCTAGAGTAGTATGCTATTGGGACTTGTGTTCCATCAGCCTTCAAGTGACTTAACACAGCCCCAATCCCATAAGGGGACGCATCACAGGCGATGCACACTGGCAAGTTCTCATTGAAGTGCGCGAGGACCGCATTTGAAGAGAGCAAGGCCTTGACCTCTTTGAAGCTCTTTTCATGTGCTTGTGTCCACTGCCAAGGGGGCTGTTTGTCCAAGAGCCAGTGTAACGGCTCAGCCACTGCAGCCTTATGAGGAAGGAATGAGTGGTAAAAATTTAGCAGTCCCAGAAAGGCCTGAAGTTCACCCTTGGATTTGGGACTTGGGGCCTGCTGAATTGCTTGCAGCTTGGATTCAGCAGGGTGGATGCCCTGAGCATCAATGCGGAATCCTAGAAACTCTGTGGAGGTAACCCTGATCTTGCACTTGTCTTGCTTAAGCTTCAGCCCCGCTTGGCGGAAACGTAGCAAAACGGCTCTCAACCTTTCGGCTAAATTGTCAGCTGAATTCCCAGCGATGAGGACATCGTCAAAGTACGGGCAAACGCCAGGGATATTTCGGAGTGTTCGCTCCATTACACTCTGGAAGATGCCAGGGGCCAAGTTTACTCCAAATTGCAATCTTTTTACCTTGAATGCCCCCCTGTGAGTCACTATAGTTTGGGCCTCGGCCGTTTCCTCATCAACTGGCAATTGTTGATAGGTCTGAGCCAGGTCCAGCTTAGCAAAGATCTGGCCCCCCTTGAGGGAGGCTAGAATGTGACTGACCACTGGTACTGGGTACGAATGCTGCTGCAGCACTTTGTTAAGCGTGCACTTGTAGTCCGCACAGATTCGGACTTCACTATTGCCCTTCAGTGGTGTAACTATGGGCGTTTCCCATGGACTACTGTCCACAGGCTTTAAGATACCTGCTGAATCAGTTTATCCAGCTCTGCATCTATTTTACCCTTTAAAGCAAAGGGCACCCTGCGTTGCTTGATTCGGATGGGGGCTATGGCTGGGTCTAGCCTCAGAGAAATAGGAGGGCCTTTGTAGGAGCCAAGTTCTGAACTAAACACATCTGCAAACTCCTTGCAGACCCCAGCCAGGCCTGTTGTTTGCATGCTGTGTATTCCAGTCACCTGAATTCCCAGGGCCTCAAACCAGTTGAGTCCAATGAGACTCCCCCAACCACAACTACATCCAGTAGCCCCTCAAAATTCCTACGCTGCACCTTGAGTGTGGCCTCCCCCCTCACATTGACTCTGGAATTTTGGAAATCTGTGAGGATGAGGTTTGATGGCCTGAGTTTCACCTGTAGGCCGCTTCTGCTGCAGACCTTGTTAAAGGTGTCTAGGGAGATGTTTGATAGAGCAGACCCAGTGTCCAGCTCCATCGACAAGGGGACCCCTTGCAACTTCACATTGATGTGAAGCTTTTTCCTAAGTGGCCTGTGGACCCCCGTTCTAAAAATGCTCCTACGTGATGCACAGAAGCCCACCCTGTTCTGGCTGGGGACCTTGGTACCTTTCTGAGGCAATTCTTCTGGGTAACGTTCCTTCTGGTGACCCAAACAGATGGAGGCAATGTGGCCTTGCCTACCACAGGCCCTGCAGATGGCGGAGCAAAAATGGCAGTCTGCGGGTCGATGGCGGCCTCCACACCCGATGCACTGAGGGGATGATGCTGGCTGGGCCTTCCCTCCATGAGGCCTTCTCCCTGGAGTCTGATGCAGCCGGTACACTTCCAATTTTGGATCCTGTTCGGATTCTTCGTGAGCAACCTCTTGATGGACGGTGGCTGGAACTTGAGGGGGCTTGGAGAGCCACAAGGCCTTCACAGCTCCGCCTGCTGCTTCTTCGGCTGAAACTTCCCTCAGGGCATCTTGGAACGTGAGGCCTTCCTTCGCGAAGAGCTTCTGCTGCAACTTCCGGCTTCGCAGGCCACAGACTAGCCGATCCCGCAGTCTATCTTCCAAGTCTTTGAACTCACAGGTCCTAGCTGCTTGTCGCAAGGCCGCAACAAACTCTGCTGCAGACTCACCAGGCCTCTGGTCCCTCTGCTCGAACGCGTGTCGCCAGGCAATCACTGAGAGCTTGGGTTCAAAATGCTCTCGAAACATCCTCTTCAAGTCTGTGTAGGTGATTGATTCCAGTGGTGCTGGGGCGACCAGATTCTCCGCAATCTTGAAGGTCTCTTGCCCACACACACACAGCAGCGTGGCAGCTTTGAGGCCATCTTCTCGAATTTGATTCACCCTGAAGTAGTTCTCTACCCGGGCCACGTACGAGCTCCAGTGTTCTGGGTGAGCTGTGTCAAATTCTGAAAGCCGGCCTATCTTTGCCATTGTTTCAGCCCAGGAACTTCGTCCATGCCTCCTGTTGCAAAGATTGAGAAGGGGCCCCCTTTTCTGAGCTCACCTCCAGCATCTCAGTGCTGGCAGGCTGAGTCCTGAGTCTCCAGGAGCCACACTTCTCCGAGCTGCAAGTCCCCCCTGTGGTGAGTCAGCTTGGCTTCTTAATCTGTTTGCCTTGCAGGCATCCCACCCTCATCGCCAATGTTCTGTTTCAGGAAAAGAAGCATTGAGATGAAGCAATGAGTTCCAACAGTTCTCCTTTATTGCAACACCAACAGAACAGGTTTTAAAATGGTGCGGCCCCCTTTTATAGCCCCCCTGCACAATACCTTGCTGGCCAATCATTGCAAAAGCTGGGAGCAGCCTTTCTTGTCCCGGGTATCCACATGGTCTTCCTGGGCCAATCGCTGCAGCCTGTGCCTGCTGGCCCAGAATACCTTGCTGGCCAATCATTGCAAAGGCTGGGAGCAGCCTTTCTTGTCCCGGGCATCCACATGGTCTGCCTGGGTCAATCGCTGCAGCCTGTGCCTGCTGGCCCAGGACATAACAATGTCCTAGGCTGCACTGCTCCGCACAGGCTGCACCTGGGGATGAGTCTCCTTGGGGGAGTGCTGGTGAGGAGGGGGCTGTGGGGGAAGGTGGGGCTGGGGCAATGATGCGCGTGCCACAGAGAAGGCTCCAAGTGCTACCTCTGGCACACTTGTCATAGGTTCGCCATCACTGCATTATGGCAACTCCAAACACTACTGCACCTATATTGGGCTCAACTAACAACTGGGGGAAGAGCCAGTCTTCAGTTTGACTTCCTTCTTACTCCTCCCATGGACACCTTGCTAAAGGATCAAATGAATTTGAACCCCCAAAACAATATTTCCTGGGACTGGAGTCTCTCTCCTAACTCTCATTCTTTTTCTTGAGAACATGTACCCAGGTGTTATTTATCAGTGCTCTGTCCTACAGCAGTTGTAATCAGTTCTCAAGTCCTTTCCTGAAAGGGCTTAATGAATCTGTGAAAAAATGCCCAATTTTGTGGCAGAAAGAAAGCGAAAGAAAATGAATATTTAAAATGTTAGGGCTACTGTCCTCTATTCGCCACATCTGGATGGTCATTAGACAGCAGCAAAGATGTAGTTTGGGATTTTGGCAGTCTTCTGGATGTTTGCAGCCTAGATTTGGTAGCCATAAAAGGGCGATTTTTCTTTGCAGAAAATTATGTGGTCTAGACAGAATGGGTGGATAGTGATGGTGGGAAAGCTCTTTGGCTTCTTGTTCCCTTTTGAAGCCATCTGTGACTTATACAAAAGCTTGCCCTCCAAATTAAGGAACAGTTCACAAAAGTCACACTGCACTCAAATGGAGACGCCAGCTAATCAAGGGCCAGCTCCTTACTTTTGCCAAGGGTCAATCATAGTCATCCTATCTAAATCTCATGTGAAAACCCAGGGTTGCATCTAAAAACTTAGTTGCAGCCCCTATAAATCTCAAAAAAAGTTACCAAAGTATAACTTTAAATGTGAGATGGGTTATCATAACACTATCAAATTTAACTGAACTGAACTGAAGAAGCCTCTTGGATGAGAAGTGAAACATGTTCAAGGAAAAAACCAAAGAAAGTCTACTTGTCTTTTGAAAAAGCACCTTTGGGATAACCATGACTTGGATGACTGAGGATCTCCATAGAAATTTATCAAATTTAAACTAAGTTTGAAATTTTTTTTTTTACTCGTTATCATACTATATCTTTTGAATCTGGTCTGATCTTTGCATGCCATAGCAAATAATAACATTTGGCTGACTTTGTTTGAGCTTGATGATTAAGCAGGCTAAAGCCTGGTTAATACTTGAATGAGAAATATCAGAAAACCCCAAGGTTATTATGTATTTATTTATAAAATGTATTGGCCGTCCATTTTACCACAGGGTAACTTTGGGTGGCTTGCAATCATAAAAGATACAAATTGTATACACTAAAAACATAAATAAGTTAATCCAAAACCAAACACTATGGTATGCGAACTTATTAGCTGAGCTGTCAAAAAATACCATGCCTCAAGATTATATACTGCTAGGATGGCTTATAGGTTATGTAACCTTTTACCCCTAGTAATTCTTTAAAGGGTTCTTTACCTCCTTTGAGAGTAGAAGACATCACAATCCTCACTTTTTGTAGTCATGCCTTAGGTGTGAAAGCCAACTGGGTGACTGGCAGTCACTCTCTCTTAGCTCAACTCACCTAGATACATTCATTCCCTTGAGCTATGTACCGTATAAATATAATAAAAGTGATGTATAAATACAAAAATGCTTGCATTTGACTTTAAGACTTTACATTATCAGCAACAAAATCATCAAGCATTCCTTCTAGTCTTATAAAAATATTATATATGGGTGGTCCTCATTGTCTATGGAGATTCTCAGTCATCTAGGTGATGGTTATCCCAAAGGTGCTTTTTCAAAAGGCAACAGGACTTTATTTCTCCCCCCTTCTACAGATGTTTCGCTTCTCATCCAAGACACTTCTGAAGAAAGAAACATCTTCAAGGAAAAACAAAGTCCAGTTGTCTTTTGAAAAAGCATTTTTGGGGTAGTCTTGAACTTGCAACCATTCCTTTAGCACTGTAAAAATAAGTTATGGCTGGTCTTGACACAATTACCAATTCTCAATTTGGGTGTTTGCACCCAGCAAATATTTCCAATAGTTGCAGCATCCTGAGTCATGTGATCACCATTGTGACCTTCCCAGCCTGCTTCTGATAAAGTCAATGGGGGAAGCTAAATTCACTTAACAATCATGTGATTCTCTCAACTACAGCGATTTGCTTAACAACCATGTCAAAATGGGTGATAAAATTGGGGGGGGGGGAGGAAACTCACTTAACAATTGCCTTCCTTAGCAACCAAAATTCTGATTCCAATTGAAGTTTACCTATACTTCCCACCCCAATGAATAGACAACAAGTTACTTTTATTAGCTTGCTTCTTGACTCATTAATTAGCTTTTCTGTTTTCTCCCATCTCTAACATGGCACTGCTGAAACTGCAGGTCACTGGTGGGCAATTTTAGTTCAATTTAGCAATTTAACTGAAGCTTTTTTTGAAGAATCCTAGCAACATATTGTGGGAAGTCATCCCCCCCCCCCAAGAAGGAAATATTAAAAGGGCAGAATATTATATTTCCTCAAAGGATCTTAAAGAGGCAGAAAAGCATGCCCAGTTTTTCTTAATAGCCCCAAGTCTCCCTACCCCAAGCAGAAACCAGCTCTGTAGAAATGCAGATGTGATAATCCATTCAGGAAGGTTGGGGGCCCCCAGCTAGAAGCTTAAGAAGACAAAGACCATTAAAATCTACATACCCCACCCAAACTCTAAGACAGGACATAATAGGATTAACCCACAGATGCCAAAGGGGCACACTCACACTCAGGTCAAAGTACATGACACAGGAAATGCAAAGCCTTGAACAGGAACAGGAAACAACCTCAAGAGCCCCAGAGAGTATAAAAACCGATTCCCTACATGTGCTCTGCCTCCTTTTTCTTCCAGAGCCATCTTTCTGTCTGGCTCTCCTCCTTAATAAACTACAACCTTCTCTCTAAAGCAGTCACCATGTTGTTTATTCCCGGCTTCGACTGGACCCTGATGAAGACTTTTCCTTCAACAACATACAGTATCTGATACATACTTATAGAAGCAATGAGCGGCTGATAGTATCCATTGTTCATTTATAATTGAGGCCCCACAAATGGGTTGCAGATTCCGGAGAATGCTCACTTGCCAGGGCCATTTCCCTGGGGTGGCATCCTGGCCTCCAACAATTCGTGAGTTTCTAGGCTGTCCACATTCTGTACAGGGAAGAGAAGAAACATCAGGCTTCTTAGTGACCCCTTGCAATGTGCAGCAAAATGGATCTCATAATCTTGAGTCACATAACTCATGAAACATCCATCATCTGAACCAGACTGATGTAATATAAAAGTTTTGTTTAGATAATATGCTGTGTTAAAGCAATTAAACAAACATGTTATTGCTTATTGTAAAATCTTTGTTAACACAAGCACCACAAATGGTTTCCCACACCAAACAGATTGATAAGCATTTGATCCCAGTTTTGCAGTGTATCAGAAATCAACATTTACAATTGTTGTTAATATACTGTATGTGCACAAAAGTCTGACACTTTAAATAGTCATCCCTCCTGCATTTAGAACCTCAAACCCATGAGCTTATTTAGGACTCTAGTGAGCTTGTTCTTCTGAACTTTCTTTCCATCTTGCTAGTCTTTCTGTCTGGCAAGTTTCTCAGTTAGTATATCTGCAAACATTATTTTTTCAGCTTCCTCAACTTTCCCCAAAGAAAAAAGATATATAGTAGTCAGGATCTCTAGAACTTCCCTGCAGGTATTACAGTTAAAATAATAATAATAATAATAATAATAATAATAATAATAATAATAATAATAATAATAATAATAATAATAATAATAATAATAATAATAATGATGTTGGAAGGGACTTTGGAGGTCATCTAGTCCAACCCCCTCCTGCTCAGCAGGAAACCCTATACCATTTCAGACAAATGGCTGTCCAGTCTCTTCTTAAAAACTTCCAGTGTTGGAGCATTCACATTTGGAGGCAGGTTGTTCCACTGATTAATTATTCTAACTGTCAGAAAATTTCTCCTTAGTTCTAGGTTGCTTCTCTCTTTGGTTAGTTTCCATCCATTGCTTCTTGTCCTGCCTGCAGATGTGTTGGAGAATAGCTTGACTCCCTCTTCTTTGTGGCAGGCCCTGAGATATTGGAACACTGCTACCATGTCACCCCTCGTCCTTCTCTTCATTAGACTAGACATACCCAATTCCAGCAACCGTTCCTTATATGTTTTAACCTCCAGTCCCCTAATCATTTTTGTTGCTCTTTGTACTCTTTCTAGAGTCTCAACATCTTTTTTTACATCGTAGTGACCAAAACTGGATGCAGTATTCCAAGTATGGCCTTACCAAGGCATTGTAAAGTGGTATTAATACTTCACGTGATCTTGATTCTATTCTCTGTTAATGCAGCCTAACAATGTGTTGGCTCCTTTGGCAGCTGCAGCACACTGCTGCCTCATATTTAAGTGATTGTCCACTAGGACTCCAAGGTTCATCTCACAGTTGCTACTATTCAGCAAGGTACCACCTATACTATATCTGTGCATTTGGTTTTTCTTGCCTAAATGTAGAATTTTACTTTTTTCACCATTGAATTTCATTTTGTTAGATAGTGCCCAATGTTCACATCTGTCCAGGTCCTCCTGTATCTTAAGCCTATCTTCTGGAGTGCTGGCTATTCCTGCCAGCTTAGTGTCATCTGCAAATTTTATGAGTTCCCCATCTATCCCCTCATCCAAATCATTGATGAAGATGTTGAAGAGCACTGGGCCCAGAAGAGAGCCCTGGGGCACCCCACTACACACTTCCCTCCATGTAGATGCAGTTCCATTGATAACTACACGCTGAGTACGGCCGGTCAGCCAGCTACAAATCCATCTGGTGGTGATGCTGTCTAACCCACATTTTTCTATCTTATCAGGTAGTAGGTTGTGGTCTATTTTATCAAATGCCTTACTGAAGTCCAAGTAAATTATATCACAGCATTCCTCTGGTCCACTAATTTTGTCACCTGGTCAAAGAATGCAATAAGATTTGTCTGGCATGATCTGTTTTTGATAAACCATGTTGGCTTTTGGTAATGACTTTGTTTGCCTCTAGGTGTTTGCTGATTCATTGCTTGATTATCTTTTCCAAGATCTTCCCAGGTATTGCGGTCAGGCTGATAGGTCTGTAGTTTCCTGGATCCATTACTTTTTCCGGTTTTGAAGATGGGAACTACACCAGCTCTTTTTCAGTCCTCTGGTAGTTCCCCAGTGCTCCAGGATCTTTGAAAAATATAGTTCAGTGGTTCTGAGATCACATCTGCCAGTTCCTTCAGAACCCTGGGGTGTAGTCCATCGGGTCCTGGTGATTTGAACTAGGATGGATAGGTGCTCACTTACCATTTTCTTGCTTATCTTAACTTGTGTTTCTAATCTGTTTTTTACAGTACTGTTTTTGATAGGTTGGACTGTTTTTTCTTTTGTGTAAATACGGAAGCAAAAAACGAGTTGAGTAGTTCTGCTTTCTCTCTGTTTCTTCTTGCCACTTTCTCCCACTAATGGACCAATCATTTCCTTAACTTTTTTCTTGTTTTTTACATGTTGAAAGAAGCCTTTTCTGTTATTTTTCACTTTTGTTGCAAGCCTTAGTTCATTTATTTACTATGTTGTTTTTACTCAGCTGATTTATGCCTTCCCCAAAGGAGAAAAATGGGGCAATTGAGATAATTTAGAACATTTTGACAGGCAGTGCAACTGGAATGCCTAAAAGTGAGTCAATCAAACCTTTATTAAGTGAAATACAAACCATTAGTAATTTTAAAAGCTAAAACTGTAAAATACACAAGGTTAAATACATAAAAATATAAACGTTAGTATATGGCTAACTAATTTATCACTTTAACTAAGAAGTAAAATGCTCATTAAGGCAGGCTTGAGGCAAGCCTATTGTAAGCTTCCTTGGGAATATTGTTTATTAGATAGGCTTAGAGCAGGCGTGTCAAACTGCCGGCCCACAGGCTGGATGTGTCATGCTGAAACTGCACCCACCCCATTGCTGGCAATGGAAAAAAAGTCACGATATGTCACGACACTTCATGTGATGTTGCGAGTTTGACACCCCTGCTCTAGAGACATCAGCTCAAGTGAAGATTGGACAGTGCTTTTGGAATAATTGGGTTGATTGCATGTTACACTTAGATTGACATGCCAATAGATCTAACATCTATATAAATTAATATTTGAACTTGATCCCCAGTAGCTATTATTTTCTGGCTTTTGGACAACTTTGTCCTTCTCTTGTGAGATCTTAGAAGATTTTTGCATTCTCATGTAGGATCTTAAGAGATTTTCTATAAAATTCCCGATTCTCTGTATTGTGAAATTCCATGCATGATCACTGAAAATCTCGAGAGGTGTTGCGGTCTCATCAAATTTTGTTAATTTTGATATCTTAAATTATAGGGTGACTATGCACACTATATTTAGTGAATTTCTGTTTTTTGGGCTGGTAGGACATGCTATGAGGGGAGAGATAGGGCAATGCACTCCAGGATCATATTTTGGTTTTAGTTGAGACTAGGCAACTTGTGACCCATTGAGTCATTATTTCAGTGATATTTCTTTCCCAGATTCCTTAATGCCTTCAACAATAGCACAGCTACTAATATACTGAAAGGGTTGTTGAAAATTCAGAGTGATACTCAGAGATGTAGCTGCCTTGAAAGTAGCTCATGTTAAACTGTATAAGTCAGTCAAAGATCAGGAAACAGGAAATGTTTGATTACATTTTGATTATATCATAAAATGTTTAATAATATTTTTTATGTCATTCAAATGTTTTACAGAATTTGCCAAATTTCAATTCTGCAGAAGTCATGGGTCTCAGATTTTGGACATGGTTCAAAAACTGTTGCCCTACCATGTACTGTTTTGCCTAGTGAAAGGTTTCACACAGACAAACAGGAGCATTTTAGCATTGTATAGATAGCCACAATTTTTCAGCTTATACAAGGAAGTTTTTGAGCTACAAGCTATTGTAGCAAGGTGTCCGACACAAATATATACCACAAGCCTGCCACAACTAGGGCTAATAGTTCAACTGCCATCACATCTTTGGAATCTGAATGGGACAGAGCAGAAAACCCCTCCTTCCCTCTCTCTCCCAAACTGGGAGTTTAGGTAAATGGCTGCAATTTCCCTTTTATCTAGGGCATGGGTGTCAAACGTGCTGCGTCATGTGATGTGTCGCGACGTATCGCAACTTTTTTTTGCATTGCTGGGGTGGGTGCAGCCTCCTTATGATGCAACCGGCCCATGGACTGGCAGTTTGACACCGCTGATCTAGGGTAACCACACCCATGTGGCTCTGGAATGCTTTTAGTTTGTATAAATCCAACACTGGTATAAGAAAATAGAATTTTATCTTTATTTATGTAAAGAGAAGAATGTGGATGCTGCAAGAATAGGATAACTGGGAAAAAAAATCAGAGGAGACCTGTGAAGCTGGCAGGAGATTTCAAATGGAGACTTCATGATGCTGTTGCTTAATGACAGCATGCGATTGACAATGATGGCCATTGAGAAGTGCCAGAACTGTTATCACAAAGCAATGCAGTCATATGACATTGCATTTTATGACCTCATTAGTTAGTGATGGAAATTCTAATCCCAACTGAAGTAATTAAGAGAGGACTACTTGTATTTTATTTAATACAATCCTTTTTGCAATAAAATTGCCCTGGCACTAGCCTATCATCCTTAGATCACAGAATCTATTGGGATCTATCTAGTGGCCGGTTACTAGTGCCAATACAGAGCATTCAGAGATTGTGCTAGCTGCCTCTTGTGGGTTGATTTCACACTCTGGAAAAACCAACTGGCTTCACCAAATAAGTTGGTCCAGAGCAAAGAAGCAATACACTAGTGACTATCCTCTGAACTGGTTTGACTCCTCAGCGTTAGAATGGTGGTTTCAGGAAGGACAACATCTTCCTGAGCAAAACAGGAAGATGAATAGTGTCAGTAAGAAGCTAATGGTGGGGATCTCTGCCTTTCTTTCTATCATTTCATGAACTTCAGGAGGTTCTGTCTACCACCAATTCCACCAAGAAGACTGGATGGAAAGTTACAACATTCTTCATTCCTCCCTACCTGATACTTTTTAGATAAAGGCTGGGTTGTTAATCCCTTTCTCTTTTCCTTCTTTCTCCTTCTCCTTTTCCTCCTTCCCCTGCCTGATCGTACAAATTATGATTGTACAAATGCTGGATTTTCAGGCCCCTTTTTTGTTCTCCCTCCTTTTATTGAACTCCCAACTCCACAAAAGTGGACGTGCCAGTATCCCCCACATGGTTTACCCAAAGCATATATTATCTCAGGTTATTGGTAGGATTTACGCAGAGCATATATTAAACTTGTTCTTACCCCTAAAGACCACAGCATGCATGCTATCCTATCCCTATCCTCCAAGGGGTGTCCAGGATATTCCTTCAATACTGCTCAAATACTATTTCTCATTGAATATCAGTTCTACAGTGATTGCTGCTTCTCCTTTAGTGCTATTACCTTCATTGAGAGCTTTGCATTTTTTCCTTTTTGTTGCTCTTCTGTCCATGCTGATTATTACTTGAAAAACAATTTCTTCTTTAAATGCTCCCCCCCCCCCCAGTTGTGACAATGCATAAATTTAGAGATCATGGTCTCCCAGTTTCTAGACTGGTGCCTTAACCACTACTGGCTCTTTTCATTATATAGTCCATTAATAATATACAGCCATTCTCTTTGACATGTAAGTGATTGCCATTTTTGATATCTATATTTGCAGTGAGAAATAGAATTTCTAATGACACTTTTGGCAAAAGATCTTGCTTGCAGAATCCCTTCTGAATGGCCCCTGCCCAACAGTCTATATCTACAGCATTCCCAAAATCTACTAAGGAAGTTATCCAATTAAAAAAAAGAGGTTAGTTTAATAAGACTTATTTTTGACAAACTCCTGCTGGTATCCAGTAATCACTTGATTGGAAATAAAATATTTTATGAACTGGTTCAGGTATTAATGTCAGTTTGATATTTGGCGCTTCATGGACCCTGCTCTCCCCACAGTTTTGAACATAGGGACAATATTTGCCTTTCCCTTGATTTCCAGGACTTCTCAACAATAATACAGAAAGTAATCTTATTTAATACCTATTTATAATACTTTGCAGTTATCTGGCCTGAGAGATTTTAAACTCAGTCAAACTGAAAATATAGGGGTTGACGTTCTCCAAAGCACCTAAAAGCAGGTGTACCTGCTTATGGATGGAAACTAATCAAGGAGAGAAGCAACCTAGAACTAAGGAGAAATTTCCTGACTGTTAGAACAATTAATCAGTGGAATGACTTGCCTGTAGAAGTTGTGGATGCTCCTAAAAACACTGGAGGTTTTTAAGAAGAGATTGGACAAACATTTGTCTGAAATAGTCTAAGGTTTCCTGTCTGAACAGGGGGTTGGACTAGAAGACCTCCATGATCCCTTCCAACTCTGTTATTCTGTTATATATTGCTTGCCAATGTGTCTATATATCTCAACCTCATGTTTTCTTCTTTATGTTATTGGCCTGATGGAATGCACATTCTCTTTTCAGAGAAGGCAGAAGCAAGCAGTGGAAAACATGCAATCCAAAACGATGAGAGCCCCCCCAACAATCTAGAAACTTACAAGATGAAGAGAATATTTAATTAACAAGCTTGAAGGCTGCAGACCAACAGCATTCCTAAAGTGCCAGATTAAAATAATAAGAGATTTCTTTGCTCACCTTAGTTTGTAACACCATTTGTAAAGATTTCAATGATAGGCCCATTCAGCTTGCGGAACTGATTTCCAGCTTTCATGGGAGCTACCAAGAAGACATACCAGAAGAATTTGGAAGAAGAGAGGTTAAACATTGTACACCCAGTCCTCCCCATCATTCACCTTGTGCTGCAGATAAGTACAGTAGACCGAGTCCCAGCAAGATGGATGGAAAACCCATGGTTGCCATTCTTTGCAACTTTTCTTTCAATATGTTGCTTGAGTAGTTGTGCTCCAGGCAGTTTCAGATCAAGCTGCTTCACTCCAGTCTTGGTATCTGTGCCACAAACTTTAATACCAACGGTGAAAGGGAGGAGCATAGGGCATTTTCTCCTTCCTGAATTGGGAAATGCAACCAAGAAGTTCTCATTCCCGGAAGTCTCTAGGCTTTAGAAATTCCCAAATCAACACCCTTGCCCACCCTCCTTTGTGATCTCCCCTATCTCCTCCCAACTGCCCCAATCCTAGTATTACCAGCAGTCATTCTGGCAGAGTTCCCTTTTCTTCTGCTTTTTCCAGATTTTGGTATCTTGGTAGTTTCCTGTTGCTAAGAGTTTTTGAGGATGCTAAATGAGAACTCTATGTTGTTGTTAATTGCGAAGTCATGTCCAACCCATCGCGACCCCATGGATTCCTCCAGGTCTTCCTGTCCTCTACCATCTTTTGGAGTCCATTTAAGTTCACGCCTACTGCTTCAGTGATTCCATCCAGCCACCTCATTCTCTGTCGTCCCCTTCTTCTATTGCCCTCAATCTTTCTCAGCATTAGGCCCTTCTCCAGTGAGTCCTTCCTTCTCATTAGGTGGCCAAAGTATTTGAGTTTCAACTTCAGGATCTGGCCTTCTAAAGAGCAGTTGGGGTTGATCTCCTCTAGGACTGACCGGTTTGAATGCCTTGCAGTCCAGGGGACTTGCAGGAGTCTTCTCCAGCACCATAGTTCAAAGGCCTCAATTCTTTGGTGCTCAGCCTTTCTTATGGTCCAACTTTCACATCCATGAGAACTCTATATATTAAGATTAATTCAGTATTTCTTCTTTAGAAGCTGGCCAGCTGCCGGTAAAATACCACACCTGAATGAAAGTATAAAATGGTTATTTTTCTGGGGAAAATCCATTTGATGGCTCTGTTTAGATGTTTTACATGTAAAAACAGCACTTCCATAAAAGATGGTTAAACATCAATCACAGCCACTATTAATATTTTATTGTGAGCAACCAACAGTTTATGTTACATGTTGGTCTATATATCCTCCTTTTTCATTGTTTGCAGTGTCTTTTGTATGACTCAACTTTGGTGGTGGTGGGGTGTGTACTTCACTTGAAACTAGTGCATCTCTCTGGTCACCAGGTTCAATGAATGATGGTGGTGGTAGCTCAAGGATTTAGCTCTCAGATCTGTTGTCTCCACTCTGTTGTCTTTTCCTTTCTATTTGGCACCGATGATGATGATGATGATGATGTACCATTAAGTCAGTGACCACAAAGATAGATTCTCTCTATTAGTTGCTTCCTTGGTCTTGCCAAATACACATGGCTTGACACACAGTATCAGTTCTGCTGATGATAGTTATTAAACTATCATAAACCTGTGAAAGCATATTGATCTGACTAACAAATGGCCCAGGAAGAGTTCATGGCTCTGAGAACATGACTTTATGCAGATATTGCTTTGTGAGTTGAAGGAGATGTTTCCCAATCTTCATTTAGAAAAGTCACCCTTAGACTGAATCAGATGATTTTTGGATATATAAGATGTTGTGATAAACTTTCTAAGATGTTGTGATAAACAAGTGGATTACAATAAAATTTATTAACAGAAAATTTTGAAACTATTATTATTATTATTATTATTATTATTATTATTATTATTATTATTATTATTATTATTATTATTATTATTATTATTCCTGCTTATTTGTTACGAATATATAGAAAACAGATCAAATAGATTTAGTAGTTTAAAAATTTTGGGAGGGCCTGTTTCGCAAGGGGTGGGAACTAATGTCATAATGTATTAATCAGTATTCAACTAGGGTTGATAATATGTATATATGTGTTGCTCTTTTTTTTTTGATCCACCTTTTGAAATGTTTTGATTGTTTTGTGTGTTTTTTCTTTTTTGGATTTTTTTTTTTTTGAGTTTTGTATTTTATATTTTAACTTTGTTTTGAATAAAATTAAAATACATGTTAAAAAAAGTCATCCTTAAGTTTTTAAAATATAATTTTTATTCCCAAACTCTTAGAGTACTCAGAATCAAGGAAGACTTATTGCAGGCACACTGTTTTTCTTCAAACTGGGGTCCTTTTCTTTATGAGATAGGCCTATTACGTCCCCCCCCCCCGGTACATAACACCAATAACTTTATAATAGAGAGAAAATGTTCCCTCTGACAGTGTTTCTGACGTGATGACTTGACCTGATTTTAAGAGCACAATTGGGATGTGCAATTAGGGGGAGCAGAAATCAGGTATTACTTCCCTGTGTTCAGTTGCAAGTAACCTGTTAATTTCTGGTTGAAAATACCAAATTAGAGATAGAGATTTATTTAGCACTCCTCTATTCCTGCATTGTCTTGCAGGTTTGAGTAAAACAGTGAGGTCAAAATAAGTTCAAATATCCAAGTGACAATAATGAGAATCTGAGTGAACAATCCCGTCAAACACTCTGGTAGAAGGAGAAATGTTTCATAGATCAATGAGTTAAAAGGTGAACTTTTGGGGCTACATGGATATAATTACTTCTCACAAAAAAAGGTGAATATACTTGTCCCAGGATAATGTTGTAGGATCCAATCTGGGTTGATCACCAGGATCAGAGCTTTATTCTTCTGAGCTCCCAGACTTGTACTGGAGCCCATCTTCAGGGATCTTCTCTCTAGCAGAGTTTGTGCTGTTCTGTGTGTGATGTTTATAGTGCCTGTTGTAAGTAGCTTTTTAGATGTTGATTGGGGTGTGTTGATGGCTGGTTTTCAAATCATTGCTTCATCAGAAATAAGGATTTCTGAGGAAAACTGCAGTGCACTGCACCATATTCTAAGAACCTACAAGAGAAGACATGAAGAGGAATAAAGTCAATGTTTTAGAATGACCAGTTCAAGGGCAAACCTCAATGCTATAGAAATGTGACAGGACTCGAATCAACTAGTTCATGCTAGAAAATCCTTGAATGTTAGTGAGTTGAAGCAGGTTGTCATGGAGGAATGGACAACATTTCTTAAGGGATGAGAGAGACTGGTCACCAGCTTCACAGGGTTTGACTGCAGATAATGTAATCACTTGGAGGTAATTATTATTTTTTTCATATGGGTATATGAAAAAAGCTTGGGGGAGCTTCTTATTGGAGGTGATTGACTAATTAAAATTTAGTGCTTTAATGTTTTTATGCTGTAAGCCTCCCAAGGTTGTTGGATATGAGATGGACAGCAAATACATTTCATAAATAAAAAAATAAATATATCACATGCTGGATGAAACAAGCACTAAACCTGGATGGTATAGCTAGTCCTCATTTAACAACCACAGTTGGGATCAGCAACATGGTGATTAAGCAAAATGGTTGCTAAGCCAAGAGACACATAACTGTGACTGTGCTTAGAATTTTACTTCAGTTTTCCTTTGATTTGCAGAATCAGACTTATATGGTCTCAAATTTTGGGGTGAGCACAAACAGCAGAGACGTTTTCTGGAATGTAACTCACATGGAAGTCGGCTAAAAAAATAAAATCTTGTAGCCTTTGCCCCATCTCACTCACTTTGGAATGCTCATGCAAATCTTGGGA